CCCCCTCTCGCCCCCCCTGCCAGCTCTGCCCCCGGGCCGCCGGGCCCGCTGGGCCGCCTCGGGGATGCAGGACAACAACCCTCAAGTGGACCGGAAGGACTGGAAGATTGGCTTCCAGCTGGGCAGGCCCCCCGCTCAGGCAGCGCCCCGCCCACGGCCCCGCCCACGGCCCCTTGGGCCCGCCCATCTGGACACACCCCCTCGTCAAACTCCACCCCTTTTCGGACCCGCCTCTGCCGCCCTGGGACACCAGGCGGGACCTCCTGGGCGGGCCGAAATGTAAAGAAATCAGTGAAAACTCAAATAATTAAAATGAAATAACAGTCCTCTGTGCTCCAGCTGTGGGGTCTCCTCGCTGGAGGCCTATGGAGGAACGTTTAGGCACCGGGAAGTCATACGCTGTAGAAAGTTAAATCAGTTTTTAAAAAATGCACCTTCCTAAATTTCAGTCCCCCGTGGAAGACTGACTTGGGGCCCTCCAGTGTGGGGGTTAACTGGTCCTTACAGGCCTAAAACAGTAAGGAGACAGTGAAAAGGGAGGCAAGCAAAATTTAAGCTTAAAAAAATGAAATTTGGTATTAAAATTTGTTTTTAAATACAAGATGAGAGTAAAAGGAAATGGGAGAGGAGCCAAGAGGAGGAAAAAGGGAGCCCCTTCCAGTGAGAGGGACCCACCCCGTCGGGAACTCGGCCTGTACCCCCAGCTCCATCGCCGAGGCAGACCTCTGCTCCCTCAGTCCTGCCATCAGTGAAGTGGGGACACCGGGGGGCTGGCGCAACTTCGGCCACGTGCAGGCCACTGCTGGCCTCCCTGGCCTCCCACAGCCTGGACTGGGCTTCTGGGGAGGAGGCTTCTGCTTCTCTCCTGCTCTTTTCTTCCGTGCCCGGTTCTCCACCGTCTCGGGGTCCTTAGAAGCCCAGGCCACTCATTCCGTGACCTGGCCTGCCCGCTGACCTGGTTTCTGTGTCCAGTGCAACCAGAACAAATCGGACTGCTTCTACCAGACGTACTCGTCGGGGGTGGACGCCGTGAGGGAGTGGTACCGCTTCCACTACATCAACATTCTGGCCAGACTGCCCGACACCTCGCGGTACCCCGGGGAGGACACGCTGGGCAACTTCATCTTCTCCTGCCGCTTCAACCAGGTCTCCTGCAACCAGGCGTGAGTCTGTCCTGCCTGAGCGCTGCCCCGGCTCGGCCCCAGGCTCGCGGGCGCGGCCCTGGAAATGCTTGTTGACTGACTGACTGACTGACTGACTGACTGACTGACTGAATGAATGAATGCTTGCCAACCGGGCAAGTGGGAAGCCTTGGCTGGGTCCCGCCTCTCTGCCCCTCCAACCTTTGCTGCAGCCCTTAGCAGAGCAGCCTCATGGGTGCCCTGGGGAGACTGGGACGTGAGGTCTGACTGAGAAACCCAGGGCCAGAAGGCTGGTTCTCAGTCTTCACTAATGTCAAGGCTCAAAGGACCTGGGAGGTCCCCCAGGTGAGGCTGGCAGGAGTACTGTGCTGGAATGGGGTGGACGGAGGGGCTACACCCCAGTTCCCACTCTGCCTCTGCCTCTGGGCGTATCACATCACCCTTCAGAGCCTGTAAAATGGAAACAAAGCAGGGACCAGCAGATGGTGTAGTGGTTACATGTCTGGACCCCCACATTGCAGACTGCGGTTCAGGTCCTGAACCTGCAGGCTGGAAACTCACACCGGGTGTGTGTGCATGCCCTAGATTCCAAGAGGAGAATGGAGGAGAAGGGATTATGGGGTGGCCATCCTCCCTTGGGGGATGACTTCTCGCTTTCTGTCTCTGTCTCTTTGTGTCTCTCCAGTGAGCGCAGGCTCCCTATAGCAACAGTCTCTCACTCAAAAAAAAAAAAAAGAAAAATGGAAACAAAACAATCCCCCTCAATGACATTAATTCAGAGATTATTCAGCACTTTTTTAAAAAATTTTGATATAGGGCACGTGCGCTGGAGGGGGTAAGAGGGAAAGTGGTAACCCTCAGGGGGATGGCTATGTTGCGATCCCTTCCTGGGATTTGGGGCATGCACACTGACACGCATGCACATGCACGTGCCCGGTGTGCTTTTGCAAGCTGCCGGTCCGAGACTAACTGTGCAGTCACCCAGAGGGATGCAACGTAACACCACACCATCAGGCTGCTTTACGGCACCTGCTTTTGACTGAACTATGAACCTATCACTGCCCTAGGCACTTGGGATACAGTAAAGGAAAATATATATATAATTCTTGCCCTTTGGCATGTTTGCTCAAGGGACAAAGATGACGAAGATAGACGTCACTCTTCTGTGGTGAGCCATGTGTCTCAGCACTCTTGACCTCAAGCAAAGGACGTGCCAGCCCTCGCTAAGGACCTTTCCTGGCCCAGCCCCTCAGGCGAGCCATCTGTTGGGACCCCTGTGATTTTTTTTTTTTTTAAAGAATGAACTTATTTAACTTTATTTATTTATTTTCATTTGACCAGAGAGAGAGAGAGAGAGAGAGAGAGAGAGAGAGAAAGCTGCCAGGTCTGGGACTAGAACTGTGGTCAGCCATGTGTGTGTCCAGCATCCTTGAACACCCTGCCACCTGCTGGCCCTACGACCCTTGTGATTGTGTTCTTGCAGAGGGGTCATGGCTGCTGCAGGCTCTCTGGAACTGAGACCGGTCTCTGGCCCCCTCCCACCCCTGCCACCCCCTCCTACTTCTGCTCCTTGATTTTGAGGGGCTGAGGAGTCCCTCCTCTCTGCAGGGTGCTCTTCCTTCTCCTGAGCCTGGAGAATGACAGCAGGGCCAGGTGCCACCCGCCCCCCACCCCCACCCCTTCCACAACGCCGCCCTGCGCAGGATTCTGTCCTGTCTGTAAACTTGGTGCTTGTTTGAGGACACAAGCTACCAGCTGGGCAGAGACACGGGAGCAGCACCCGACCCTGAGTCAGCCGCATCTGGCCCTGAGTCAGCCGCACCTGCCGCCCATCTCTCTGTCGCCTCCCCCGCCGTGGCTTCTGTACATTCTCATCCCGTCCTCTCCTTTGCCTGCTCCATGCCCCTACCTCCCTGTTACAGAAAGTCCGCGGGTCTCCTCCTCAGCTCAGAGCTTCCCCTCACCTCTCACCAGAACGGTTATAAGCCCTGACCGACACCGTGAGCCTTTCGGCCTCCAAAGCCTTCCCTCCGCAGGCTCCACTGCTCTTACTTCACTTCACTAGACTGGACTGTTCCAGTCAGCGCTGTTTGAATCTCGCAGTGTCAGGGCAGCGGGTGGTGTGGTAGTTAAGACACTGCATCCCACATGGCCAACAGTGTGGTTCGAGTCCCAGACCCGGTGGCTTGAAAAGTCACACCGGGTGCATGCGCACATGTGTTTATGTGTGTGTGTGTACATGCCCAAAACTCAAGAGGAGAATGCAGGAGAGGGGATTGTGGTATGGCCCTCCCCCCAGGGGAGATTTCTCTCTCTCCCTCTCTCTCTCTCTCTCTCTCTCTCTCTCTCTCTTTCTCTCACTGAGGGCACACGCCTTGTAGCAAAAACAAAACAAACAAAAAGCCCTGCAGTGTCTGTTATGGCTGTCAGAATCTCGTAGACCCTCCTCAGCATGGCTTTCTTACTCCTGTATCCAAAACCTTTTACTCCCTTCCTGTGATCTTTAAAAAATAACAGTAAAATACCTTTATTGAGGTGAGTCATATGAAATGCATCCTTTTATGGCTTTCAGTGTACTCAGCCTGGCGGGAGCGCCTTAAGTAGATACGGTCTTTGTGCCTTCGCTGCAGGGCACGAAAGCTCTAGACAAAGCCTTGGTCTGCCCTGGGCTGTCCGGGCAGTAGGAAGGAGCGTTAGCCAGAGAGGCCGGGAGAGGCTGGTTAGAGGCCCCACAGCTGCAGTCAGTGTAGAAAGCATGCGGCTTTACCTCCCCCATGAGAGAATGCGCACACAACGGGACCGTGACGTTCGGGTCTGTCTGACTCTCATTTTTTTAACATGTTCTTTAGAATTATTTTATTTAACTTTATTGATTTATTTTTAATTTGGCCAGTGAGAGACAGAGAGAGAGAGAGAGAGAGAAAGCAAGCTGCCAGTTCCGGGACTTGAACCGTGGTCGGCCATGTGGGAGTCCAACACCTTACCCGCCACACCAGCTGCTGGCCCCGCTGACTCTTACTTTTACCCTTCCCCTTGGGGTGCCTGTCTCTCCGCCCTTGGGCGGGGCACAGCGTAGGGTAACCATTGTCATTACCTAATTTGAGAATACTGCCATTACCCTGGAAAGAAACCGCGGGCCCATTTTCCTCCCCACCTGTGCCTCCTCCAAGCCCTGGAACCACGAGGCCGCTCTGTCCCTGTGGGTCTGCTTGTCGTGGACATGTCACGTACACGGAGTCGCACAGTGCAGGCTCGTCAGGGACTGGCTTCTTGTGCTCGTACAGTGTGTGTAAGGCCCACCCGTGTGGAGCACGGTCACAGCTTCATTTCCGGCCCAGCCGCGGTGGGCACTGAGACGCTGCTGCAGGCCAGCCCCGGGCTGGGTGGCAAAGGCAGCTGGATCCCACCCGGCAGACTCCAGGGTCAAGTCCTGGACCCTGCAGCTTGAGAAACATGCTGGGTGTGTCTGTATCCATGCCCAAGATCTCAAAAGGAGGGAGAGTCGGGGGAGAAGGGATTGTGGCATGACCATCTCCCACGGCAGGGTGCCTTCTCACTTTGTCTCTCTTTCTGACTTTCTCCTGAAAGGGCAATGTGCCCTCTGGCAAAAAAAAAAAAAAAAAAAAAAAATGGAAAAAAAAAAAAAAAAAAAAAAAAAAAGACGCTACTGCTTTGCTGCTTTGCAGGCTGAGGCCACATGTAGGCCACGTGGGAGGCCCGGGTTAGATTTCCGGCTGACCTGGAAGCTGGCTGTGCTGGTGCTCGCCTGACCCCCACCTGCTGAGCGGATGAGGCAGGAGGATTGTGAGCTCCCGCCGGCCTGGCCCACCAACGCAGACCCCATCTCAAAGCTGAGCATGGTGGCTCACACCCGTGGTCCCAGTTCCTCAGGGGCTAAGGTGGGAGGACAGGGACACCCCAGACCCCATGTAAAATGAGCACGGACACCAACCCCACACCTTCATCCATGTGACTGCATAGTAACATTGTGCACAGGTACACCGTATCTTCGTTCATTTATTATTATTTTTAAAAGAATTATTTTATTTAACTTTATTTTCTTATTCATTTGTATATTTTAATTTGACAAGAGAGAGAGAAAGTGAGGAAGCAAGCCGCCAGGTCTGGGACTCAAACTGTGGTCACTCATGTGGGAATCCAACATCCTTAACCACCACGCCACCTACTGGCCCCTTACTGTTATTTTTTTAAAGAATTATTTTATCTGGGACCAGCAGTTGGTGTAATGGTTATGCCGCTGGACTCCCATGTAGTCAACTGTGGTTCGAATCTTGGACCTGGTGGCTTAATCTCATGCCAGGCTCTTGTGCGTGCGTGCCCAAGATCCTGAGAGGAGAATGGAGGAGAAGGGATTGCAGCGTGGCTATCCCCTTGGGGGGTGATTTCTCATTTTCTGTGTCTCTGTTTCTCTGTCTCTCCAATGAGTGCACATGTCCTATAGAAAAAAAAAAAAAAAAACCTCTTTTAAAAAAAAATGCCACTATATGAGCATACTGTTTTCTGGCTTTCCTCAACTTAACTTGACCAAAGAGTGACAGAGTGGGGTGGGGGGAGTAAGAAAGCAAGCTGACGGGTCTGGGAATTGAACTGCAGTCGACCATGTGGGAGTTCAGCGCCCTTAACCACTATACTACCTGCTGGCCCCCTGTTCATTTGTTATTTGATGGGTATTTGTATTGTTTCCACTCTTTGGTTGTAATGAATGACGCTACTATGGGACATTCCTGTAAAAGTTTGTATATGAGTATGTGTTTGTGTTTTCATTTTTTTCTTTTAAAATTTTTGGTTAGAGCACATGCATTCCCCAGAGAGAGGCAGAGCAAGAGGGAAAGTGAGGAAGCACCTGCAACCCCCAGGGAATGGCCACACAGTAATCCCTTCTCTTCCATTCTCCTCCTGGGATTTTAGACACATACTCATGTGTCCAGTATGATTATCTTTTTCTTTTTAATAATTATTTTATTCATTCATTTATTTATTATTATTGTTTTCACATGAGTTTTGCCAGAGAAAGACAGAGAGCAAGAGCAAGAGAGAAAGAGAGAGAGAGAGAGCAAGCTACCAGGTTTGGGACTCAAACCGTTGTTGACCATTTGAGAATTCCAGCACCTTAACCACTACGCCACCTGCTGGCCGGTCCAGTATGACTTTCAAGCTGCCGGATCTAGGACTTGAACTATGGTTGGCCATATGGGAGTCCAGTGTCTTAAATTACTATACCACCTGCTGGCCCCCTAGTATTGTTTTTTGATTTTTCTATAGGGCATATGTGCTCACTAGAGAGAGAGAGAGAGAGAGAGAGAGAGAGAGAGAGAGAGAGAGAGAGAGAGAGAGGGAGAGAACACAAGCAGCGGGGGGGG